TCATGTCCTCTCTAACACTTGGAATTGACTATCGGGTAGTAGGAACTGGTAGCTTATTCTGGCCTACTTCAGTATTTCCCTCATTGGGAGTGAAGCTGAACACATGTGAGCCATACGAGTTTTCTTTGCCATGAAGCACTTGCTCGTGGTCCTAGCCCATTTATCCACTGAACTCTTTGTGCTTTTCTTATTGATTTATATGAATTTCTATATATTCTTCATACAAAACTTTTGTCAGTTGGGTGGATTACAGATAGAGTCTATGTGCAGCTTAACTCACGTTTAATTTAACATACCATTCTATAAATAGAGCATGCATTACAATATAGTCACGTTTATACATATTGTATAAGAATGCTCTTTGGTCTTGGTTAATGAATCTTTCCACCAAAATATCCAAAAGATAGCCATCTTTCATTTCTACTAAGAGTTTTAAGTTTTTGATTTTGTGGGCCAAGTCTGTATCCTTGGTTGATTTGAGTGTATGGTGTGAGGTAGAGATCTAACTTCATTCTTTTCTCTGTGGATTCCTGTTGTTTCCATCACCATTCATTGAACAGCTCCTCTCCTTACTGGCATGAAAAGCTACCTCTGTCCTGTACCAGAGCTCCATTTATGCACAAATGTGAGTGTGTTTCTGGGCTGTCAATTCCATTGGTCAGTTTGTGTATCCCTGCACTAATTTCTTATCATCTTACTTCCCATAGCTTCACAAGTTTTAAACAGTAAGTACTCCCTTCTCTCTCCTAAGAAAGGTTCTGGTTATTCAGTATTATGGTCACTAGCCCCACTCTTTCCTGTCCAGAGCTTCTTCCACTCTCCCACCTGCCACACCTCTGATGTCCTGATGTCAGACCCTCCTTGTCTTCTGTGGGGTGGCAGAGGCTGGCCGCTTGCTCTGTGGGGTCAGCAACGTGTTCCACATATGGACACTTAGCTACCACCCTTGTGCTTAACCTCACATCCCACTCCCATTCTCACTCCTCACCCTTGCCCCTGGGACCCACCACATCTCGGTGTCCTGGAGCTTCTCCCAGTTGGTCGGGAAGACAACCTCCTTTAACTCAGCGTCTTCATCCACAGGCACTTCAGCTTTTTAAAAATCCACTCTGCCAATCTCTGACTCTTAATAAAAAGTTTGATCCATATATGTTTAAAGTAATCACTGATAAGAAAGGATTCACTTCTGCTGTGTAGCTTTTTGCCTTCTGTATATCTTCTATGCTTTTTGTTTCTCAATTCCTGCCCAGTTGAAAAATCTTCCGTTGAATGTCAAGTTCCATTTTGGTCCCTTTGTTCTTTCCTTTTTTGTTCATTTTCTACATAGCTCCCTAGTGGTTATGTCGGGGATAATAATTACTGTCTTAAACTTATAACACCCTAGTTTGAATATTTGAATATCAACATATATATATATATATATATATATATATATATATATTTTTTTTTTTTTTTTTTTTTTTGAGACAGAGTCTCACTCCATCGCCAGGCACCAGGCTGCAGTGCAGTAGCACGACCTCGGTTCACTGCAACCTCCACCTCCCAGGTTCAAGCAATTCTCCTGCCTCAGCCTCCTGAGTAGCTGGAACTACAGGCACGCGCCACCACGCCCAGCTAATGTTTCTGTATTTTTAGTAGAAAAGGGGTTTCACTATGTTGGCCAGGATGGTCTTGATCTCTTGACCTCGTGATCCACCCACCTCGGCCTCCCAAAGTGCTGTGATTACAGGTGTGAGCCACCGCGCCCGGCCCTAACTTTGATTTTTTTGAAACAGGACTCACTCTGTTGCCCAGGCTGGAGTGCACAACCATAGATCACTGCAACCTCCTACCCCTGGGCTCAAGCAATCGTTCCACCAAAAAGAGTGTATGGTTTTGAGTTACTGTCTCGTGTCTCTTCATGTGAGACCAAATGATTTTTTTAGCACTTCTTTTAGGGCAGGTCTACCAGTAATGAATTCCCTCAACTTCTATCTGTCTGAGAATGTCTTAGTTTTTGCTTCATTCTTGAAGAATAATTTTGTCACATATAGAATTCTTGGTTGACAGGTATTTTCCTCCTTCCAGGGCTTTAAATATGCCACTGCCTTTGAGCCTTCATAGTTTCTAAGAGAAACCAGCTGTTAATTTTATTAAGGATCCCTTGATTGTGATGAGTCGCTTTTCTCCGCCTGTCTTTGAAATTCTCTTGTTGTCTATGTCTTGACAATCTGACTGTAATGTGTTTTGGTATACATCTTTTGGAGTTTATCCTGCTTGGAATTCATTGAGTTCCTTGGATGTGTAGATTGATTTATTTAATCAGATTTAAAAAGTTTTCAGTCATTATTTCTTTAATTTCAGTAGTCTCCTGTTCCCTCATTATCTATGGGGGACATGTTCCAAGACTCCCAGTAAGTATCTGAAACTGCAGATACTACCACACCCTGTATACACTATGTTTTTTTCCTGTGCATTAATGGGCAGATAGTGTATACAGCATGGATATCCTGGACAAAGGGATGATTCATGTCCTGGGTGCACGAGCAGGACAGAATGATATTTCGTTATGCTACTCAGAACCACACACAATTTAAAACTTGTCAATCGCTTATTTCTGGAATTTTCCATTTAATATTATTGGACCTTGGTTGCCCAGAGGTAACTGAAAATACAGAAAGCAAAACTGCTGGTAATGGGGGACCACTGTATTTTTTCTATTTTTTCTGCCTCTTTCCTTTTCTCTTCTCCTTTGCAGACTTCTATGTTGCATATGATACAGAAATACATAATTTCTATATCCATGGATAATCTAACATTCTCATGTCATTTTCCTCTTTTATTTAGTTGTCAGTGACTTCCTGTAGTTCACTGAGCATATTTAAAACAGTTGATTTAATGTCTTTTATGAGTCATTCAAATGTCTGAGCTTTTGCAGACATAGTTTATGCCAAATCTTTTCTCATTTGAATGGGTCATATTATTCCATTTCTTTATATGTTCTATAATTTTTTGTTAAAAACTGGATATTCTGAGTATCATAATGTGGTAACTCTCAAAATCAAGGGCTTCTCCCCCCAGGACTGTGGATTTTCTCTGGTTACAGGCTGGAACCATCAGTTTGTGACCTTTTCAAACTACTTTTGCAAAATGTGAATTTCTTGTCACTGAAGTTGCTCTTCGTTTATCACGACCACTTAGTGAACTAACAAAGATCCTCAAATATCTAGCTACAAACAAGGGGGAAGGTCTGTCTTTTAAAATCTTCCAGTAGATGCTGCTGGAGGAAGCCACTGCCACCAAGTGGATCAAAACCAAGGCGAGGCTCTGCGTTCATCCTCAGGGCACCAGCTGACTAGCCAGAACGTAGCACCTCACATTTTTTGAGGACAAGGTTCCTGCTGCTCACTCTGACGTCAGCCCGTTGCTCCAGGAATGTGGGTTGCTGCCCTCACAGCACAGCAGGACTAAGAAATGGAGGTGGTAGCTGGCTCATGTACGCCACTTATGGAAGACCAGCAGCTCCTCCCTTCCTCAAGCATTCTCCCATACATGTCTGACCAGGTTCCAGAGTTTCCAAATAATTTATTGCAGTTGCTCTTTAGAGCTGAATGGTTCTCCAGTGGAAGGAGCAGCCCCTGTAGCTTTCTACCATACCATTTTGTCCTTAGGTAAACTCCCTCTGCATTTTTATATACATACTTAAGAACACTTTCACAGCACAGCTGTCATGTACATTCTTTCCACACCAACCTCTGTTTCACAGTCCGCCACCATTTTGCCTGTCATACTTTGTCATGTTTTTATTTTCATTTCAAATTAACTGTTCACCTTCTCCTTGTTCTCAGTAATTTTGGGGTTAGTTCGGTGACACCTCAGCTCTCCTTTGCTTTCTGAGTCCTCTCACTTCCTTCTGTGCATTTTTTCCTTGCACTTCTCTGTGTCTACCAAGACCATCGCTCCCACGGCAGTCATATGAAGGCAGAGACTCCCATTGTTGCCTGTGGTTTGGGAAGTTTTGCAGCAGCAGGCACTGCCTGGTTGCTCAGCCTGCAAGTGCTCCAGCTAATCGACCCATCAGGAGCCCTGCCCAGCTGAGCATCCACTGCCCCTCAGTGGCAACTCCTGGGGCCTCTTTCAGGTTCTGCAGCACGCTGCTGACGTTGGCCTGGCCTGCGTCGGCTCCCATTCGCATTCTTTCCTTCTAAGAGTCATTGTTTCTGATGCAACAAAGGTTTTCCTTCGATGTCCTATCTTTACCCAATTATGGATCTGTTTATATCCTGATTATAATTTTTAAGGATTGGATCAGAGAAGGGAGACTATAGCATGTGAGAGATATGTTGTTTTGATTTAGAAGCCTTCTGGTGGTTTTTTCGCTTGTGGGTCTTTCAAAAACTTTCAAAGAAAAATTTTGCACATTTCTTGTCTCTAATTCCTGCTGCATTCAGCACTGCTAGTTAAGATGAGCCCAATCCCCAACCCTTTGGAAAGTCCGGGCAGCAACGCAGTCACCTCTCCTGTCAGCTGGCCAGCACGCATAAACAATAAAGTCATTGGTTGGTTGGGCTAGGGTAGCATCAGGGCAAAGAGTAAAATACCTGTACTCAAGATGTGGGTATAAAAACACTTAAGGCTCCCTGGTAGCCAGAACTCACCACAGTCAAGCAAAAGTGTGAGAAGAAGGTCGCAGATGTGGGTTGACCCTTTGTGTGCCCACATTTCCCCACTTCTCATGCTGGAAATCCAAACTAGCCTCCTTGGCTACCACAAGACCCTCTTATTTATCAGGGAGAGCAGAGTTTGTCTCTATATCGGTACACGTGCAGCAGAAAACAGCAACATTCTTTCAGCAGTGCAGTCACGTTACTGTCTTCACAAAACTCAGAGAGGTGAAGTGATTGCCCACGTCACAAGCTAATCTCCAAAATGGGCTCTTGTTTACACATTTGGTCCACTTTGGCAGTACGACAAATATTACATCATGCATCCTCTGTTGTTTCTCTTTCCAAATATTGCAGAGACACTGCAACAAGAACCAAACCAGCCTGTGAATACAGGCTGTGCTGAAAATTAAGGCTGAGATTCAGGTAAGATATATTGCAGTACGGGTCATGTTAAAATCTACCCAAGTTTGATTCTCTACAGAGTGAAGTATCTTCAAAACAATCACCAATGCAAACTCGAGGGCCAGCATGCTTGTCGTGTTCATGTCAGCAGTGACCCAGAAGGCCCCAGAATGTGGGCCATGTGTCCGTCTCTAGAAGTAGTGCGTTGCAGACGAGCTATGAAACTATAAATTCATCTTTATTTCCTAGGCAGTAAACGATGTATAGATGCAGACCGCTCATTTTCATACTTGCTTTTAAGTCTAAACTAAGAATTATTTTTACCCAATTGTACTGATCTAAAACCTTTTAATAATGAACACCTGCCATTTTAAGATGGCTTTTGGTTAGAAGCCTCTGACCCTACTTATCCTAGCTTTCTGCTCAAACATTTAGGATGATCCATAGAATGCAGTGAAATTTAACTGTGAAACAAGTGATCATTTACTTCTAGAATCAGGGGGAACATTTACTCCCTAGAAGGCTGAAGGAATTTGCTGTCACACACACAGACACACACATGAGTTGGCAAACCATCCAGCCATGCTCTGCTGTCGAAACAGGAAGTCTGAGTATTTGACGACAGAGGGACGTGCTCTTCATCCCTCCACTACTGCCTCTTCTCCACTGAGACGCGTGAGACATGACTGGACCTGAAAAGAAGACCTCAGCCCGTTCTCTAAGCTGTTACCTTGGCGTTCCCAAGCAAAGCAAGTTCCTTTGCACCCTGAACTCTACCATTCAGTACCTGTCTTCTCATAGGCTTCAGAGAGGCACCTCCCAAAAACCAGCTGGACAGGGAAAGGGTACAGGGTGCATGCACCCTGAAAGGCATGACCCGTACAAGGAAGCCCTGTGGTCAGGCAGAAAATCCAGAGCCCTGGTATCCTCAGAGTCCTGTGCTCTAGGCAGCTTTCCACAGCCACTGGGTGCCATCGAGCCCTGAGGCAGGTCACGGTCTCCCAGCAGCACCACCCTGACCAGCACCCTAGAGGATAAGAGGGCAGGACTGATGGTTCTGTGCATATCCTGTGCAAATTCTGCAGAACTGGGAATAGACATCACCATCCAGGCCCAGAGAGACAGCAGACCTGTGGCAATTGTCCTCTAGAAGAAAGTGTTTGAGATGAATAGCCCAGGATGTTAACAAGGCAGGGAGCCAGAATTGTAAATGGAGACAAGCCGAGATGAGAAGACAGATCCGCTGAGATTAAAGGGGAGATCAGTGAGATACGGAAAGCTTGCAAGAAACCGACCATGAAATTGCAAAACTGAAGTATTTCAAGGAAAGAAGTAAATGGTGCCGTAAAAAATTGTCCCAGTGATATGGAGGACAAACTTAGAAGGTACAACCTGAGCTCATGTAGAACGTCTCCAGAATGGCACCTGAGTTGACGTGCTCCTCCCACCATTCCCTCTGTATGCAACAGTGAAATGGCTGAGGAGAAGCAGAGCCCGGGAAGTGGAGCCAGACACTTGACTAAAGCATCAACTTGCAAATCATCTGCAAACAATGGACAGCTGCTGTGGACATCCTTGCATGTGAGCGTCACATGGAGCTGCGGACTCCCTGCTGTGAGCAACAGTGGCTCACAGCGATGGTCATGAGGAGGGTCTTAGTACAAAGGAGTTCTTAGTGTAAAAGAAGACTTAACCCTAGGTAATTTATAAAGAAAAAAGGTATGTTTGGCTTATGATTCTGATGGCTGAAAAGTTCAAGATTGTGCCTTGCATCCGGTGAGGGTCTCAGGCTTCATAGCAGCAGGTGACGGGAGCTGACATGTGCAGAGAGAGGAGTGAGGCTCCAGACTCTTCAACAACACGGTCTCATGGGTTGGTGAGAGCAAGAACTATCAGCGCATGAACGGTGTTGATTTACTCATGGGGGTCCACCTGCATGACACAAACACCCCCTAGGAGGCCCCATCTCCAGCATTGGAGATGCCATTCCAAAATAAGGTTTAGAAGGGTCAGATGTCTGAACCATAGCAAAGACTGAGGTCCCATGGCAGAGCTTGATTAGTGATTGACGGTGCAATGTGTTTTATAGAGGCCCAACCTCAGCCAACCACATACTGTCTGCTGAAGTTACAGAAAATTTCAGGTCACGTTCTTTATTGTATGCATGTTTTTTTAATCATCTGCATAGTTTTTTGAATGAGGCTAAATCATTACAAAAGCATCTGGTCTTCCCTGGGTGCTTTTGAAATTATTTAGCTTCATTTAAAAAAATATTCACCACTAAGCTTTTAAACAAGAAGTATTTGCTGTGATAACGTCTTACAGTTGTGAATGACTGCAGAGCACATGAAACACTTCTTCGGTATATCTTATTCTTCTCAAAATGCCTATGGTGTGGGAGTCAGTCGCTCCTATCCCTAGACAAGGAGATGGTGGCTAAGAGAGTTGTTTGATTTTTACATAATCCCAGAAAGGATTTAAGTTAGATGTTAAAGATCGTAGAATACAGACCAATGGTATAACGGGAGAAGGGAGGGAAAAAGAAAGAAGGTACTGAAATGAAGCTGGAGGTTCTGGTCATGTGGCAAGTCACTTACTAGGATCAGACAGTGCTCTGAAAACTGAGCGACTTAGGGTGTGTGTATGTGTGTGTGTGCGTCTGCGCTCTTGCACCTGCCTGTCCATGCCCACGTGAGTGCCAGTGTAAGTAAAGTCTTAAAGGCATTAAGAATTACTTAAGAAGCTACAACCTGAGCTCATGTAGAATGTCTACAGAACAGCACCTGAAATTCTGACAGGACTTAAGGAATTCTCAGGCCAGGGCTGAAGGCACAGAAGAACCCAAAGAAGAATCCAGAGGGGAGTGCGGCTGGCCTTTGCCCTGAGGGCATTTGTGAAAAAGCTGGTGAACTTCATTTTCAGCTTTACAAGAGGTACAAAGAGAAGATCCAGCTGAGAGCTCAGCCAAACTGGCATGCCCATCAGTAATCTCTTAAAGTTGGGACCCCCCCCCCCCAGATGGTTGTACCCTCAGTGTAGTTGCAAACTAGAAGCAGCTCAGCCACTTGCAAAGGAATCAGGCATGATCAGCCATCTCAAGCCCTAGAGCCGAAAGAAAAAAAGAAAAATCCATGCTGAGTATTTGGAACAACAAGTTGTCCCTAACTTTGTGTGAGGTGGGTGTCCAGAAATCCCCAAGCTGAGAATTTAAGATAGAATGATTCTGAACTGATCATTCCCATTTGCCCAGCATAATTCCTTCTGAGTAACAAATCTTCCTCCTAAGCCTCAAAGATTTCTCAAAAATAAAACTACAAAGCAAATGAGCAATTCTAAATGAAAAATAACTAACCACACGTGAAAACACAACACTGTGAGTGAGAAACAACAGAAACCATAGTAGAAACAGACACACAAATACCTCAGCTGTTGAATTTGACAGACCAAAACATCAAGAAATAAAACACGAAGTCAAAAATATCTGAAGAGAACAGAAAACTATTTTTTAAATTACCAAGCAGATTTGGAAAAATACCAAATAAAACTTATAGCTGTAGAAATGAGAAATATCACTGATTTTTTAAAGAAAGTTGGTGAACGGATTTAACAACAAATTAGACACAATTGAAAAGTGAATTAGAGGACCGGAATCTAGAGCTGAACAAATTACTGAAATAGATACAAAGTGACAGAAATGTGAAATGTGAAAAAAATTAATGAGAATACAGTTTGGAGGCTATGTTATGTTTAATTAGAGTCCCAGAAATGGAAAAGAGATAAAATTGGGAAGGGGTAGGATTTAAAGAGATTTAGCTGAGAGTTTGCCAACATTGTTGGAAGAAACCAACTCACAGATTCATAAATCAGTTCTTGGTCAGGCATGAGGTGCAAATATTTTTCCAATATTTGGTGTGACTTAACTTTTTAATAGTATTGTTTGATAGCATTCTTAACTTTAGGACAGTCTCATTTATGCATATCTTCTTTATAACTAGTGCCTTTTAAATAACTTAACAAACCCTTATATACTATGAGATCATAAAGCTATCATCCAGTATCATATTCTAAAAGTTTGTTTATGTGAACCCAAGAAGAGTAAATAAAATTCTAGATATGACATAATTCAATTGATAAATGCCTTAGACAAAATATTGTTTAAAGTATCTCCTGAAAAAAAGATTATCTTTCAAAAATATTAATTAAGCTTCATACGAATGGAAGCCAGAACAAAGTTGAATCATACCTTTAATATGATGGAGGTGGGGGTGTAAATCTGTAATACTATACCTAGATAATGTATCTTTTAAGAATAAGGATAAAATGGACATTTCTGCATATCAGTAAGAAATGTTAGAAAATGAAGAATATGCCATTTACATTAGCATTTTAAAAATGAGTTTCTTAGACATAAACCTAGTGAAGGATGTGCAAGACTTTTGTGGAAAAATATTATAGAACTTAGAGACATTTTAGAAAGATCTAAATAAATGAAGAGATTTACAATGTTCATGGACTGTAAGAGATATAGTAAAGATAACACTTTCCCAAATAGAGTCAATATAATCTCAGTAAAAATCCTGACAGATTTTGTGTTTGTGTACATGTGTGTTTGTATATTTATGCGTATCACTTGAAAAGCTGATTCTGAAATGTATACTGAATTTCAAAAGGTCAAGAATAACCAAGATATTCTTAAAGAAAAAAGGCCACGTAGGAAGACTTGCCTCACCAGATAGCAACACCTCCTATGAATCTTTATTAAAACTGTGTGATATGTGTGTAGAAATAGAGATCATTGCGATAGATTAGAGATGCCAAGAGAAAACCCATGATCATATGGATATTTAATTTTTGATAGGATGTGATTGATGAGTTGGGATGGAAAGATTTTTAACTAATTGCTGCTGGAGCAGTTTACTTAAGACTAAAATTAAATTGTACTCATGTGAGAGAAACATGAGTGAAATCAAACCCCTATCTTGTACTATTTCCAAAAATCAGTTCCACTTGGACTAAAGAAATAAATGTAAGGAAAAACTATAAAAATGTATAGAATATCCAAAAGCTATTGGATAATAGCTTTATGTTCTCATGGTATATAAGGATTTGTTATTTAAAAGGTACTAGCTATAAAAGAAAATATACATAAATTAGACTGTACTAAAAATAAGAATGCCTGGCTATCAAACTATATTATTAAAAAGTTGAGTTACACCAAATATTGGAAAAATATATGCAACCCATAACTGATGAAGAACTATTATCTAGAATTATGTACAAAGAATTATGACTCAGTAAGAATAAAACAGAAAAATGATTGAATGGGCACTTCACAGAAGAGGAAACCCAAAAGACTGGTAAACATAAGAAAAGTGCTTACCTGTGTTAGTAATCAGGGAGCTGCAAGTTAAAGCCAAATGTGATAGCATTATATACCCATCACATGAGCAATAATGCAGATCTTAACAACACCACATCCTGGCAAGAGTGGGAGCACCGGCAATACTTTCTTGCTGCTAGGGGTTTTGACTGGATACAGCCACGTCGGAAACATGTTGGCATGACCTCATCTAGCTAAGGTGAGTCCACCTGGGCTCCTCAGCTCCAACTTAGTTGTCCATCTTAGGTTCTTGCCCAAGCACACCAAGAGACATAAAGATGGTTCGTGATAGCCCCACAATTAAAATGCCCATCACAGAGGTCCAGACAAGAAACTGCAATACAGTCATACAATGAAATACTACATCATGTTAAAATGAGTGGACTGTAGCTTGACATGTCACTAACACAACATCACATGGAGCAAAATAAGCAAGAAAGAGTAGTCTAATTTTATCTTATAAAGTTAAAAAATGGGCAGAATGAAACATTATCAATTGTTTAGAGGTTGATGTCATGCCCAAGTGGACATTTGTAAAAAGTGAGGGCATGTTTTCCACATGTGCATCTTGCAGCCACAGAGGTGAGGATGGAGGAAGTGATATGACTCCCTGGAGGAGGAGGGGAGGGATGAGATGGCTACCAAGGAGTTATTACATGGGCTTCCACTCTTTTGTTATTTAAAAAGGGGTACATAAGTGTTCTATCCACTCTTCTGCATGCAGGATCTATCTCCCAAGAAGAATAATAGAAAATTGCCTATGTCAGTGGTGCACTAATCTCTAAGCTTTCTGGAAGGATGGGAGATGCTGGAGCCTTGCTCAGGAGGACTCACTAGACCCAGCTGGGATGGGCCCTGTGTCTGAGCCAAGGTGGTCCTCCCAGAAACCAACCCTGCTTCTCCAAGAAAGAGAGTGGAGTAAAAGCCACTGGTGGATTTCCATCACAAGCAGAGCTGAGCTCCGTCCCTGGTGGCTGCTCAAAGAGTGATTTTGTTTTGTTCTGCAGGAGACGAGGTGCCCCTGTGGTCCAGGTGCCCTTCCCTGGAACCCTACCCCTCCATCAAGGTTCTGCCTGGGGAGTCTACCTTGTAAAGCCTCCTGCTTTTATACATACTGCAGTCCAGCCAGCAAAGCCCATCATCTCAGAGACCCCTGGATGTCCTTCGAAGGAACCAGGACCCCTGATCCCAGCATCTGTCTCTGTCATTATCTTCAGCACAACCAAAGAACAGGCCTTGCAGGAGGTGTTGCATTTCCAGGATGATAGTCTGCCAGGAACTGCAGAGGAGGCAGCCACCTGTTTAACTATGCAGGCCAGCCAGCCACAGGCCCTCTTGCTGCTTAAAAAATACCTGATGACTGAGCCTCTCATCCTTACCCACAGCGTGGAGCTCATCTGCCCCTTGGGGGAGGCTGTCCAGCCAGAAGCTGCTGCCCTAACCCCAGCGGAGGCCATCCCAAATGCTGATAATAATGTCCAACTGGGAGCCAGCACCTTACCCCAATAAAGGCCATCACTATGAATCATGGTGATGTCCAGCCAAGAGCTGGCACCCTACCGCTGGCCAGGGAATACCCAGGTCTGAAGGGGAGGAGCCCACCCTGTTTCTGTGTGCAAGAGCATCTGCTCAAAGCCCCAAAATGCCTCAGTGGGTCCCCCTTCTTGTCCTTGCACACACAGGAGTAGTGCCAGGAGAGCGAGCCACTCTGTAGGAGCACAGTACTGGGAAACCCCGGACCTGGATTAAGAGTTCTTCAGGCTGGCCCTGACTTCGTGTCTTAGTAGACAAAAGAGTCAAGAGAAGAAGAACTGCAGGCGTTTTCCATGTTTTAGTGAATTCTGCATTTTTGCCTGCTTAGTAGCTATATTTTAAAAGATAATTATAGCTTTCTAAATATATCTGTAAGTTATTAAGTGCATTGGGCTCCTTTGTGTGTCTGTAAAGAAATACCTGAAGCTGGGTAATTTATTTTTTAAGAAATAGGTTTAACTGGTTCACAGTTCTGCAGGCTGTACAGGAAGCATGGTGCTGGCATCTGCTTGGCTTCTGGTGTGGTCTCAGGAAGCTTCCAGCATGGAAGAAGGTGGGGCGGGAGCCAACACATCATGTGGTGATAGCAGGAGCAGGAGAGAGTGGCAGGGTTGGGGGGTGTGCCATACATTTTTAGATGACCAGATCTCAACTGAACTTCCAGAGCAATAACGCACTCATCACCCAGGGGGTGGGACTAAGCTGTTTATGAGGAGCCTGCCCCGGTGATTCAAACGACTTCTGTGGTATGCACCAGTGTTCCCCTTCACATACTTTGACAGTTTTCCCTGTCTGCTTTTGAAATTTCTGTCACTGGGATTGAGCAATTTGATTATAATGAGCCATGATATAATTTTCTTCAGTGGTACTTTGAACTTCTTGCATCTGTAGATTTATAGTTTACATCAAATTTGGGGGAAAAAAGTTTGTCATTATTTTTCCAAACCTCTTTTTTAATGTACTACCCTCATTCCTCATGTTTTCTTCTCTCCTTCAAGGACTCCAGTTAAACATATATTAAGCCACTTGAAGTTGTCTCACAGATCACAGATAATTTGGCTTATTTTTAAATCCTCTTTTCTTTTGGTTTCATTTTGGATAGTTTATATTGCTATGGTTTCACAATCTGACATTACTCCCACGCAGTGCAATTCTTACTTTATACAATTGCAGCTTTCTCCTCTAGAACAGAGATCCAGAGGGCTGTTATGTCTTCTATGCCTCAAATTGGCTTTTACAACGTGTGGAACAGAGTTGATGTTGTTTTAATGCCCTTGTGTCTTCAGTTCTGGGTCAGTTTTCATAGACTGTTGTCTGCTTATGGCTCCTATTTCCCTACTTCTTTGTATGCCTAATATTTCTGATTAGATGTCAAAAATCGTTGCCTTCTCTGGTGTTAGATATTTCTGTATTCCTGTGAATATTCCTGAAGACTTCACAGAACTGACAAAATGCATGAATCCACAGGTACATAATGAGTAATTTATGACAAGCTGCATAAATGAAAAGAAGAAATCCACACCTAGGCAAATCTTATTCTGGAATGCAGATAAGATAGAATCTTATCCTGAGATGCAGTTATTTAAGAACAGATTTTTTAAGTGTTTATAGGTGTAAGAGGTGTAAGTGCAGATGTCTTCCATGCTGTATTACATAGTGGTGACATCTGGGCTTTTGGGGTACCCATCACCTGAACATTGTACTGAATAATTTTTCCACCCTCACCACCTTTTAGAGTGTCCCGTGTCTATTATTCCACTCCATATGTCCATGTGTATACATTGTTAAATCCCACTTAAAAGTGAGAACATGTGGTATTTAACTTTTTGTTTCTGAGTTATTTCACTCCGGATGAAGAATGGCCTTCCACCCATCTCCCTCAAGATTTGATTTCATCCTTTGTTATGGAGGGGTGGTATTACCTTGTGTATATATGCTACACTTTCTTTAAGCAGTCCCCCACTGATGGAGACTGAGGTGGATCCATTATGTTTTCCATTGTGATAAACATACAAATGCAGGTGGTTTTTCATGTCAGTTATTCCTTTGGTACATACCCAGTAGTGGAGTTGCTGAATCAAATAGTAGTTCTAATTTTTGTTCTTTGAGAACTCTTCATACTGTTTTCCATAAAGATTGCATTAATTTACATTCCCACCAACATGCATTCCCCATTCTCCATGTCTTCACTGAAGTCGCTTGTTTTTAGACTTTAATAATAGCTGTTCTGACTGGTGGAAGATGGTGTCATATTGTGATTCTAATTTCCCTTTCTCTGATAATTAGTGTTGTTGAGCATTTTTATATGTTTTTTGACCACTTTTATGTCTTCTTTTTAAAAATCGCTGTTCATATCCTTTGCCTCTTTTTAATGGGCTTAAATGGTTTGAGTTACTTGTAGATTCTGGATATTAGCCCTTTGTTAGATGCATAGTTAGCAAGTGTTTTCCCACTGTGCAGGTTATCTGTTTACCCTGTTGATAGTTTTGTTTGTTTGTTTGTTTGTTGCAGAAGCTTTTTAATTTAAGTTCCATTTCTCTATTTTTGTTTTTGTTGCAGTTGCTTTTGAGGACTTCCTCATAAATTCTTTGCCTAGGCCAATGTCCAGAAGAGTTTTTCCTAAGTTTTCTTCTAGGATTTTCAGCTTTTGGTCTTATGTTTAGGCCTTCAATCCATCTTGAGTTAACTTTTGTGTATGGTGAGAGGTATTGGTCCAGTTTCATTCATCTGCACGTGCCAATCCAGTTTTCCCAGCACCATTTATTGAAAAGGGTGTCATTTCCTCTGTGTATATTTTTATTGACTTTGTGTCTTTACTTCTGAGTCCTCTATTCCGTTCCATTCATCTATATGTCTGTTTTTATACTAGGATCATGCTGTTTTGGTTACTATAGCCTTGTAGTATAAGTTGAAGTCAGGTAATGTGATGCCTTCAGCTTTGTTCTTTTAGCTTGGGATTGCTTTGGCTAATTGGGCTCTTTTTGGGTTCCATGTGAATTTAAGGATTTTTTAAAAATTAGATAGAGATTGTGTTGGGTCCATAGATTGCTTTGAACAGTATGATAATTTTTAACAATATTGATTCTTCCAATCCATGAGCATGGGATGCTTTTCCATTTGTTCATGTTGTATGATTTCTTTCATCAGTGTGTTGTAGTTCTCCTTATAGAGATCTTTCACTTCCTTGCTTAAATATATATCTAGGTAATTTTTGTAGCTATAATAAATGATATTGCCTTCCAGATTTGGTATTTGGCCAGATTGTTATTGATATATAAGAATGCTATTGATTTCTGTACATTAATTTTGTATCCTGAAATGTTACTGAATTCATTTATCAAAGCTAAGAGTTTTTTGGTGGTCTTGATTCAATTTAGTTGTGTCCCCACCCAAATCTTACCTTGAATTGTAGCTCCCATAATTCCCACATGTTGTGGGAGGGACTCCGTAGGCAATAATTGAATCACGGGGCAGTTTTCGCCATGCTGTTCTCATGGTAGTGGATAAGTCTCTCGAAATCTGATGGTAGTATTAGGGGAAACCCCTGTCACTTGACTCTCATTGTCTCATCTGCCACCATGTAAGATATGCCTTTTGCCTTCTGCCATGATTGTGAGGCCTCGCCAGTCATGTGGGATCATACAAACATTTTTTTTGTTTGTTTATAAATTACCCAGTCTTGGGCACGTCTTTACCAGCAGTGTGAAGTGGACTAATACAAGTTTTTACAGCTTTCTATATAGAAGATCATTTCACCAATAGAAAGAGAAGTTTTGGCTCCCTCTTCTCCAATTTGCATTCCCTTTATTTCTTTTTCTCTTGCCTGATTGCTCTGGCCAGGACTTCCAGGGCTATGTTGAATCAGAGTGGTGAAAGTAGGCATCCATGTCTTATACCAGTTCTTAGAGGGAATGATTTCAAGTTTTCCCCATTAAGTATGATGTTGGCTGTGGATTTGTCTTATAAGGCTTTTATTATGTTGAGGCATGTTTCTTTTATGCCTAGTTTGTTGAAGATTTTTATCATGAAAGAGGCTAAATTTAATTGAATGCTTTTTCTACATCAATTCAGCTGATCACATGGTTTTAATCCTTAATTTTGTTCATGTGATGCATCACATTTATTGATTTGCATCCCTGGGGTAAATCCCACCTGATCGGGGTGTGTTATCTTTTTGATGTGCTGTTGGATTGTATTTTCTAGTGTTTTGTTGAGGATTTTTGCATCTATATTCACAGGGATGTGGATCTGGACGTTTGTTTTTGGTTTTCGTTTTTGTTTTTTGTCTTTGGTTTGGTACCAGAGTGGCACTGGCCTCATAGAATGAGTTAGAGAGAAATACCCCTTCTTCAATTTCGTGGATGGGTGTTGGTTCTTCATATGTTTGGTAGAATCTGGCTGTGAATCCATGTAGTCCTAGGCTGAGTGCGGGCGTCCACACAAGTGAAGCCACTTCTGGCAGTGGGGAATCAACTGCAGGGACAGAAGCTGACCAGGCGCCTTGTGCCTCTGCTCGGAGCAGTCTCGGCTTTACAGAGCTCACTGCCCACTGCCTCTGACAGCCACACCCAGAGCCTCAGCCCCTGCCCTTGCCAGCTGGGTGTGTCCTCTGCACTGCAGACATGAGTGCCTCCCTTCTCTGTGGCCCTCAGCTCTGCAACACCATCCTCTCTCTGGTCCTCCGTGTCTCTGCCAGCCATGGGCTCCTGTCCACATCTGCTGCCCAGCACACTGTCCTACTGCCACGTCCCCACATCCTTCTTCCCTAATGTCGGCAGTGGAACCATGGTAGCAGTGGCTGGCATATTAAGAACATGCTCCAACCAGCTCTGCCTAGGACCGAACACCCACCATGCGGCTTTCCCTCCTCATTAGCAGCTGACCAATGACAACACTGGGCCACAAGGCTCGGCTGCCATTCTCTCCGTCACAAGTGAGTGATAGTGGAGCCAGAGTCAGGGGCCACAAGGCTCAGCTGCCATTCTCTCCGTCACAAGTGAGTGATAGTGGAGCCAGAGTCACTCCCTGGCAGCAAGACCCAGAGCCTGCACTTTAATTCCATGTTCCACAGCAATTCAAACCCAAAAATTGAATTTGGCTTCTTTAAACAAAATAACCAGATGCAATAGTAGCCCAAACACACAGAGGCACATGCACACACACACACACACACAGACAACAACACATGGGCACGCAGGTCCAAACACACACATGCATATACACAGACAGGCATGTGCACACACACATACACACAAAGACATGGGCCATGCACACAGGTGCAAACACACATGCATATACACAGACACACAGGCAGGTGCACACATACAGGTGCAAACATGCACACACAGGCATGAGCACATACAGGTGCACAAACAGGTGTGCACACACATGCACAGACACAGGCATGTGCACACACACATGCACACACAGAGACATGCACACACACTGTTGCAAACACACAGACACAAATACACAGCTGAACATACACAGCTGAACACACACCAACACACATACTGGCATGCATATGCACACACGCACAGGTGCACACTCACCCACAGGAATGCACAAATACATGCATGCCTCTGCACACACCCTCACATACTTACATGCACACACACATCCCGGCAGACATTTTGCCTAAGCTGCCAAGGTCACCAGGTGATGTGGCTTCAACACCCCCATGAGCCTTCCCAGGCCCCACACTCAGGCAGGCACGTGGTTGCTCCAGTCGGCAGGTGTCACACTGACCACCCGCTCTGACCCCATGCACCCAGGCTGTAGCTTGTCTCCAGCCCGGGGCCCACACAGGAGCTGCTTAGGGTCCCCAGTGGGTCCTGACTGCTCACCTGCTGTGGGCCACACCCCAACAGGGCCCAAAGAAGCCGTTCAGCCCACAGGCTGTCAAAGGACATTCAGCTGTGAGGGCGGGTTCCACTCCTATGGGTCCTCCTGCAGGCTTGGTGGAAGCAGTCCCGCCTCAGCTGCCGGGACCCGGCAACCCCACACTTGGCCTCGGAGTGTTTTTGTTTCTGCTGCACAAATCCCCACAAATCCCCACAAATCCACCTCTTCCCCCAGGCCCCCGTCCTCAGCACGGGGCCTCCCAGTGAAGCTGGGCTCCAGCCCTGGTCTCCCACTGCAGACGCGGGGGGCCCCAGCGTCTCCCAGCATCCCTTCCGCCCAGGCCTTCCAGGCTACCTACCACACTGCCCTTCCCAACCTCCACTGTCAGCCTGAGCCCCTGCCCACAAAACCCAACCCCAAACCCAGGCAGGTGCGGGCAGAGGGTGCTGGGCAGCTGGGGCTTGTCCCTGAGAGCTGGCCTCCTCCTATGTGACAACTGCCAGGCCTGGTGCTCCCCACTGTGGACGCAGAACCTGTGCAGAAGGCCACGGAGACAGCAGCAGGCAGACAGGCACCCCAGCGAACGCTCCTGGTCACTGACGTGGTGCCACAGGTGGAACTGGGACAAGCATCCGTGCTGGGGGTGGGGAGGTTACCACCCAAAAACCTCATATGGACCCAGAACCTCAGAGTAAGACCTTACTTTAAAATAGGATCTTTGTAGATGTAATTCGATTAAAGATTTTGAGATCATCCTGGATTATCCTGGTGGCCCTTAAATCCAGTGACAGTTGTCCTGAAAAGCAAAGGAGGAGACAGACACAAACTTGGTGAAGGAGGCCCCATGAGGACAGAGGCGGGGTGGGGCCGTGTGACCACGCCCAGGGCCGCCTGGAGCCACAGGAGCTGGAAGACGTGGAACCTGCAGGTGCAGGCCTTGGCCTTGGACTTCCGGCCTCCTAGGCCGTAAGAGGAAACCTGTGTTCAGCCCTTTTGCAGTGATTTGCTACGAACCCCAGGAAATAGCTTACAACAAGACACTGCGTGGACGACGTCATTGGGTTTTCAGCAACTGCAGGGTAAAAGGAGGCTGTCCAGGTCTGGGGTGGAGCAAGAGCTGGGGGCAGGGTCACCCCTGGAAGGGCCACTGGACAGGCAGCCACAGCCAGATGAAGGGCCCGCATGCTGAATCAGGATCCACCTGTCCCGGCTGAGCAAGATCCAGTGCCCTTTCCTGGCGATCTGTAAGGGCCAACGGAACCGACTGTCACCATGAAATACACACCCGTGACCCGAAACCCAGATTTTACCCACAGACATGGAAACAGACTCATGAACACATGGATTCCCCACGGGAGAACCAGGGCCAGATGCACACCCAGCCCGGGTCACTCAGAGACCCAGAAGCCCTTCACTGTGTCTCCTGCACAGAGGCCCCGGCAGCCCCGGTCACTGTGGGTCCTGCACAGAGGCCCCAGCAGCCCCGGTCACTGTGGGTCCTGTGCTGACGCCCGGGCAGCCCCGGTCACTGTGTCTCCTGCACAGAGGCCCCGGCAGCCCCGGTCACTGTGGGTCCTGCGCTGACGCCCGGGCAGCCCCGGTCACTGTGGGTCCTGCACAGAGGCCCTGGCAGCCCTGGTCACTGTGGGTCCTGCGCTGACGCCCGGGCAGCCCCGGTCACTGTGGGTCCTGCACAGAGGCCCCGGCAGCCCCGGTCACTGTGGGTCCTGTGCTGACGCCCGGGCAGCCCTGGTCACTGTGGGTCCTGTGCTGACGCCCGGGCAGCCCCGGTCACTGTGGGTCCTGTGCTGACGACCGGGCAGCCCCAGACTCAGCTCTGTCCTCTTCTCATCATGGGGTGTGGGGTTGCCAGAGCTCCCACAGCCCCCAGGACCCACCGGTGCCCCTGCCTCTCCTCTCCTCCCAAAGGCTCCGGGACGATGTCTGGCTCCGAAGCCTGGCATAACCTCCCACTTCGATTTTATTGTAAAATCACTGCATTTATGTCAAAAGAGAGTTTGTACAGGTTTTGAAAGATGCACTGACGGTCATCGTGTGTCTCATACGACAGTGAGAGCACAAGGAGAGGTCATCTCACGACTTCCACGCCTCGGGTAGGAACTGCCGGAGGCAAAGGGGAGTCGCTCTGGGCTCTGTGGGACGAGGACGCAGCGGAGCCCCACCGGAGCCAGAGAAAAGTGGGACCCCAGCGTGGCCGCCGCTCGGCTCCGGGTTCTCCGGACTTCCCTGCTCCGAGTGTGGAATTTCTCAGAAGAGGAATAGACAGAAACCAGAGGGGAGGAGGGGAAGTGCGGGGCGCGGGACCACCGTGGGGTGGGTGGGGTCCAAGCCGGGCTCCGAGACCTCAGCACCTGCTGCCCAGCACCCAGCACCCTTCTGCCTTCTCCTGCTGCCTCTGCAGGGGCCCGGGGTCTGCGGGACGCCTGGTGCAGGGACAGAGGCGGGGCTGGGGGAGGTCAGCGTCACCGGACACAGTCCAGCTGGAAGTCACCTAAGGCGCCCCTTCCTCCCGGGGGCTGCGCCTCGGCCTCCTCCAGGGAAGGGCCCCTGTGCCCCTCGAGTCCCAGCACCTAGCACCACGGAGCCGCCCAGTCCGCCTGGCCCCAGAACCTCTTCCGGACAGCTCCGGGCCGAATGCGTCGCCTCGGCAGAGCCTAGCTGGGGGCGCGGGGCAGCAGGTGCCCGAGAAAGACGAGGCTAGAAGAGTGGCCGGGACTGCCGCGCCGCATGCCGGCGACCCGCAGGAAGAGCCAAGGCTGAGGCCCGGGAGAGGCGCGCGCCGCTCCTGCGGGAAGGGCTCGGGCAGCTGCGCTCGGCGCCTGGCACGGACCCACTCCCCGCCCAGGCCGACTCCGGCCTCGGTGCCCCCACCTGGGAGCCAGGTCCCCAGCCTGCGCCCCGCCTCGAGGTCAAAGCACCCCCGCAGCCCGATACTGCCGCTTCCCTGCAGCGTTTGCGGCTCCCTAGAGAATGGGACGCCCAGCACCGTCCCAGCGTCCCCGCGTCCCCGCCGCCAACCCGCCCCGCCCCAGGAGGCCGCGGCCGCGCTCCTCCATCCCGCGCTGCCGCACCGTCCACGCGCGTCCTGCGGGGCGCAGAGATCCGGGTCCGGTCGTCCCCGGGGTCGGGGGCAAGAGCCAGGTGAGGGGCGCCGCAGTCCCTTGCCCAGCGGTTCCCACGGCCCGGCGAGTCGGCCGCGCCCTGCGCCGAGCAGGCGCCGGGTGACCGGCTGGGCCTGCGCGGAGCCGGCCTTGTAAGGCAGAGGCCTCCGTGCGCCCCGCGCGCTCCCCGGGCCGGGTGGGGCGGCGGGGCGGGGCCGCCAATGAGCGCGCGGGGCGGGGCGGGGCGCGGGGAGGGCGCGGGACGCTGGGGGCCGGGGGCGCGCCGGGGCGGGGCGGGGCCTGGCTGGCGCGGGGCGGTGGCGCGAGCGCTCCTCTGGGCACCGGGTCGCGCGCGGCCGAGTCGCGGAGGCGCCGCCGCTGCAGTTGCTGCGTCGCGAAGGTAAGTGGGCGCGGGGCTCGGTCCTGCGGGCGCGGTGCGGGGGCCGCCTGGGGACGCAGACCCCGCCTGTCAGCGCCAGCGGCCACCTGCGCCGCGGCCGCTGCGCCCCCCAAGCTCGCCCGAGCCCCTCTCGAGCCGCCCCGCGCGTCCGTGCGCCCTGCGCCCCCGGGATACCCGGCGGTCGGCGCTGCGTCCTCTGTGCCCGGAGGCGGCGGGGAGGCTGCGCGGGGGCCGCGGGCGGGGGGCTCCGTCGGTCGCGCCAGGGACGGATCTTCGCTTGGCGCTGTGGGCCTTTCTTCGAGCCACGGACGCCCCTGCAGCCCGTCCCTCCAGGCCCTCCCCAGCCCGGGGCTGGAACCCTGTTTATCCGCTCCCAGGCCTAGGGGCCGCGGGTAGGAGGCGTGGGAAATTGGGGCGTAGAGGGGCGGAATGCAGCCGCGGCCCTGCGGCAGATCTTGCGAGATTCCTGGACACAGAAAAGGGCCAGAACCAGCCCTTGGCGAGACCGCGGCGCCGGTCCCGGGGTCCTGACAGCACCGCGTCCTGGCAGGTGGGGCGGCCCGCCGGCCCCCCGCGGAGACGCCGACTTCCCCCGGCCGTGGCTGCCCCCGCGGGCCTGTGGCGATGGAGAGGCGCCTCCAGGACACCTTCCCGCACCCCTGGGAGCAGTGCCCAGGGATCTGAGGAGCCCTTTATTCTGCGGTTTCAGTTACGTAAATGGAGCCAAGGGAGGTGAGAAGCGCGTCCCTCCCGGGCCTTGGCCTTGGCCGGGGCTGCTGTTTTGATAAGGGTTGGGGTTGGGGGGCTGCTGTTTTGATAGGGGTTTGTGTGGGCTGCTGTTTTGATGAGGGTTTGCGTCGTCGCCATCAGTGTCACGGCTGACCCACCTGCCATGTTTATTGGCCCTTCTGGGTGCAGGGACCCTGGGGGACTGACCCCCGCCCACCCTGGCTCCGGACACCCCTCCTGACCTCTCAGGGGTGCTTCCCTGCGCCCAGCAGGTGACCCTGCTCCCTGTGGCCTGGGACCACCTCCGGGGACGCGGGGAGGGGCCGGACCGAGGCCGGGAAGGGGCAGGAAGTGGAGGGGAGCGAGGCAGCTGCAGCCTGATGCCGGCGCCGTAAACTGGGCTCCCGCGACTGTCAGCAGCTCGGTGCCAGCGCCTCGTCCCGCCACGTGATCCTCGGAGGGCCCGTGGGGGAGGGGCGGGCTCCGGGAGCGGCTGCAGACCGCGCGCTTTCGGAGGGTGTGTGCGTTGTCCGGGGAGGGGTGGGGTCCGCCGCTTTCCTGGTTTCTAAAGCGGCCCCTGGTTCCGAACGGCGGCGCGGGCTGTGAGCGCCGCGGTCCGAGCGCAGAGGGTGAGGTCGCGGCGATGCGGCCGCGTGTGCGCGGAGGAAGCGCTGCAGGTCTGCGGGCTGCGTTTCCATCTTGCAGTTGCTGTTGGTCGATCTTCCTGAAGTCCCTGAAGTCGCAATAAATGTTTTAACGGTTATACAAGGTTATAAATGCTTATTGTGGAAATGAGCATATAAATGCTCATATAAATGGTCAAAGGCGGCTTGCTTGGGACGCTCCTCGCCGGAATTTCCCGAGCCTCACACTGGCAGTGGCTGACCTAGGCCTGGGAATCAGAAAACAGGGTTCGAGCACCGGGCTGGGAGGCTGGGCAGGGCAGGGCCTGGAGGGAGGGGCTGCAGGGGCCTCCGTGGGCAAAAGGGGCCTCCTGTGGCCTTTCTTAAAGGCCACAGCGCCACACGCAAGGCCCAGGAGGACTCCCTGAAGAATATTAGGGTCACCCATCGCAGATGGGGCCAGAGAGCTCTCTGGAGAGTCAGGCAGTCTGTCCCCTCCCAGCCTGTGGGAGCCACTCCCTGCAGAGGACGCAGAGAATTAAAAGCTTCCTCGGGAGAGGCCGTGCCAGCAGAGAGCCAAGTCTATTTATAGCCGGTGGTGAGACAGGAGGCGTGTGTGAGAGGGATGCTATCTGTGGCTTCGGGGCCCCCAGGCCAGTGCTGGTCAGCGCCCTGCAGTACCTGGCCCAACCTGGTGCCCTCAGGCAAAAGCGCCTTCGGGAAACACTCCAGGTGAGAAAAAGGCGCCCATCGCCTCTGCCTGGGCTGGGGGAGCCAGGAGGCTGCACCCAGGAGGTTCAAGGCCGGGTGTCAAGTCCATCTGAGCCCACAAACCCTCAGCCAGGAGCCGGGATCAGGCAGCAGAATCTACACACACCCAGTTCCTACTCCTAGAGCAAAAGGTGTTTCCTGGGAAGGAAGGGGTGGAACTGCCTGGGTCAGACCCAGCCACATCTGGGGCTCAGACCTGGTCCCGGCACCCGCGAGCCAAACCCCATGCTGCTCTGCGCCAGTCCTCCTAGGGAGACCGGCTTTCTCTCAGTGTGTGTGTGAGAGGGGAACAGGGGTGCCACAGGGCCGTAACCCCCTATATTCTCCCCAGATGATCCCCCACCCAGGACAGCCCCCACCCAGATGATCCCCCGCCCAGGTGATCTCCTGCCCAGATGATCCCCCACCCAGGGCAGCACCTACCCAGATGATCCCCCACCCAGGTGATCTCCCACCCAGATGATCCCCCACCCAGGTGATCTCCCACCCAGATGATCTCCCACACAGGTGATCTCCCACACAGTTGATCTTCCACCCAGATGACCCCCTACCCAGGACAGCCCCCACCCAGATGATCCCCCACCCAGATGATCTGCCACCCAGATGATCCCCCACACAGGACAGCCCCCACCTGAGGCAGTCCCCACCCAGAGGATCTCCCACCTGGGAAAGCCCCCACCCAGTTGATCTCCCACCCAGATGATCCCCCACCCAGGGCAGCACCTTCCCAGATGATCCCCCACCCAGGTGATCTCCCACCCAGATGATCTCTCACACAGGTGATCTTCCACCCAGATGACCCCCTACCCAGGACAGCCCCCACCCAGATGATCTCCCACCCAGATGATCCCCCACACAGGACAGCTCCCACCCGGGGCAGTCCCCACCCAGAGGATCTCCCAGCTGGGAAAGCCCTCCCAGTTGATCCCCCACCCAGATGATCTCCCACTCAGATGATCCCCCACCCAGATGATCTCCCACCCGGGGCAGTCCCACCCGGGGCAGCCCCACCCAGGTGATCCCCACTCTGTAGAACACCCACCCAGGGCAGCCCCCACTTGCTGCATCTCCCACCCATGGTATCCTCCCAAGATGATCTGTCACCCAGGTTTCCTTCCTAAGGCATTCCCCCACAAGGGTTTCCCCCTAAGGTGACATACCCCTCCCAGGACATCCCCTCCCACAGGATCCCCCAGGTCATTCCTTCCCCAAGGCTCTACCACCCAGGACAACCCCCACAGGGATTCCCCCACACAGGGCATCTTCACCCAGGGTGTCCCCCTCTCCAGGCGCTCCCCCACCCAGGGAATGCCTCTCCCCAGGGAATCCCCCCCCGACCCAGGGCTTCCCCTACCCAAGGCTTCCCCCCACCCAAGGCTTCCCCCCACTCCCACCCAGGGCTCCCCCCGACCCAGGGCTTCCCCCACATATAGATCTCCACCCAGGGCATTCCCCCCAACCCCACCAGGGCACCTCCCTGCCAGGGCCTCCAGGGTGCATCAGCTCAGCAGCAGTCCTCAGTGAGGAACCCCCGCCCCAGCTCCGCACGTTAGTTCCTGCGAATGGCTTTGATTGGCCCTGCTGGGTCCCAGGCGGGGAAGGGAGGGCAGGTGCTGTGGGCTGCAGCCCCCTGGAATCACGCCTCGGTGGTGGGGGCAGCGCCCCGCAGGAGAGTGGCTCATGGTTCTCAGAAAAAAGAATAAACAGAAACATCAGCTGTCCCTAAGTCTTGCTTCCTGATGCTCGAATGAAGACTATTCTGGGTTCCATGCTCCTCCTCTAACTGTGCAGGCACTGCTTGTGAATTGCAATTTAACGTCTACATGCCCAAATGCATAACTTTCTTTGGGGAAGGAATATAAAAAATTATTTGCAAAGAGTAGAAGCTAACAACAGCGTTCTGTCTGCACCGAACCAGCTGCCTCCCGCAGCCCCATCCGCTCCGAATGCCGGGCTCCTCTCCTCGTCATGGAAGGGGGAGCCTCTCCTCGGGGCCCCAGCTGCACTGACATCGTTTAAAAGTGAGGTTCTGGAAGGGAAGGGACGTTTCTTACCTTTCCTTAAGCCCAGCAGTTAAGGCCACCAGCAGCCCCTTCCCTGTCGAGTGGGGCTCGGGGAAGCGGCTGGTGCGTTCCTCCGGCAGGCTTGGGGTCCCACGTCTGACTTCTTGGCACGGTAAAAGGTGCCCATCCACGTGGGCTCCGGGTGATTGCTGAGCAGGCGTGGGGTCGCAGACCACATTTCTCAGATCCTATAACCTGTAACTTGACACGCCCATTTGTTTACAAATGTCCAGCGTGACCTCTGCCAAGAGAATGTCACCAACAGCCATACCTGCCGGGTGACCTCACACACCTGCTGCCTCCCTCTGGCCATCAGTCCATGGGGCGTGGATGTGGCTTCAACCCCAGGCCTCGGCCCACGTGCCCTCACATCTGACACAGGCAGGCTCCCAGCACCCTTTACCTCATCAGGACGCGTGTGACATGCCCTCCTGGCCCACAGAGGCGCCCGAGCTGTGCTCGCCTCACCGTGCCTGCGGCAGCCACTCACTGTTCACCCGCTCACGCTGGCTCCTGCCCAGAAGCAGACCAGGCCAGTCCCACCCCACTCAAAGTGCTGCTGGTGCCTGAGGACCGGGGAGCCATGTCCAGGCCCCAGCCAGCTCGGGGATGGTCCCAGCCCCTCCCCCTGCACCCGGGGCACCTGCATCTCCCACCCACGGTATCTCACAGTGACCTGCCCACCGTGGCTGCTTCTGGGGCGTCCGCCCTCCCTGCACACATCGGCCCCCGCTTCTCCTAAGGCTGCCCGAGTGCCGGTTCCCTCGGCCCCTTTTGCGCGTGGCACCTCTGCCGCATCGGCTCCGGTCCCGCCGGTTGCTTGCTGCCCTCTCAGTGCCTGAGGAACCCGGGCCGTGGACGGAGCCACTGGGGTGAAGCTCACGTCAGCCTCCGCTCCCAGCAGCCTCGTTCCCACCGCCTTTGCCTTCCCCAGTGCTACGTGTCCCCAGGCCGCCTGCTGTGAGGGCCCCGCCTGGCACTCGTCACAGTCCATCTGTGGTTCTGGTGCCAGTCATTCTGGGCTGCCTCTTTGTGTTCCAGGAGTGGGACGGGGTCTCACTCCCTGTCTCCATTTTCCCATCGAAGCACAAACCCCTGAGCACCGTGCTTTGGCCTTGGCTTTGCCTGCGTTTTTCACGTTTCACCGGCAGCCAGGCAGCAGACGCTCTGCCGTGCCAGCTCACCTGGGTCAGCCGTGTGCGTGAGGGATCCATCCCCGCCGCGTCAAGGAGCCGCTATGCCCGGGCGCTCAGCGCTGCTCACGCTCCCGCTGGGAACGCCCACTGTCCCTCCGACCACCGGACCGTCGGCAGGCGCACATCCGCGAGGTTCCCTTGCTTGGCACGCAGGAATGAAGCTGTTGTGGGTGTTCCTGGGATGTTCTTTGGGGCACATGGGCAGGGGTCTCTGTTGGGTCAGTCTGGAAGTGGAGCCGTTGGGTCTGGGGTCCTCGGTGTCCTTACACTCATTAGCTGGTGCCAAGCAGTTTCCCAGGGGTTGACGCCGTTCGCACGGCCCGGCCCCGCGGTCTCCTGCTGACCCGCGT